AGTTTGAATGAACTAGGCACCCGTCATGGATTCCCACATAGCCATCTCCACAAGACACATGACATGAAATGCATGACAACACCATTATGCAATTATAATAATAATTTCAAGCATAATTCACGATCAACAATGATCTACACGAGCCATCCGCTCATCGTAATCCTCTCGGGAATTACCATCATCACACCAGATCGTCCACACTGGACGGTCCTGGCCCACACATATCAATCACATCCCTAAGGGCAAAAACGTAATTTTCCATATTCTCTCTAATTAAATTCATTACTATTCTTTCCTAGGTTCATTTTAGTCATATTAATCCTACCAATTAAATGGAATTGCGTTCCAAGCAAAATTTGGGCAGAAATCGCGAAAATGGGAAAAAGTCATCTCAGGCCTGCCCATACACGTATTGCCTTACCTGTTACGCGTAATGCCTGCTGTTAGGCCCACCGTAGGTGTATTTCCCTATCTGTTACGCATAATGCCCTGCTGTTAGGCCCAACATACGCGTATTGCCCTGTCTCTTACGCGTATTGCCTTGTCTCGTACGCGTATCACCAGAACTGCTGTCAAAAACTCAAATTTCATCCCTTTCACGTATCCTCACTCAATACTCTTCATTCAACCATTCAACTCAACCCAAAATTAAGTTTTTTGTTAATCGTTTCTCTCTACCTCCACTATACTTCATGTATCCATTATTCTCCTAAGATTTCTATCATGTAAGGTTTAATTTCGTTAACCCTCTAACCCTTATTTTCTAGATTTGTTATCTGTCAGAATCATACCACAACATCAATCGATTCCACACGAATTTCATATTGATCTCAGATTCATTTACACATACATCACACAAAAATTATTTAGCAACAACAGTCATTTACATAGAAAAGCATTATATTACGAAAATCAAACAAGATGAGAAGAAATACATGAATCCTATGAGAGAAAGGACCTTTCACTACCCTCTCATGTTAATTCACCCATATTGAAATCCATTCTCCCCCCTTACCTTAGATTGAAGCTTTTTCTTGGTAACAATGGGGAATTTCTTGGTTCCTCTTCCCTAGCTCTCTTTTCCCGGTCTCTTCCTTTTTCACGATTAGTAACTGATTCCCCACTAAACCACTTCTAATCCCCTTTAATTAGATTTTTAGTTTTATTATTCCAATTAGTAATAATAATAATAATAATAATAATAATAATAATAATAATAACAACAACAACAACCACTACCATCTCATTAATATTATTATTAATAGCATAAAATAATAATACCAATGAGCATAGTATTCTTATTATTATCATTAATCATTAATATTATTTATTATAGGTTCACCGTACCCCAACTAAGGTCAACTCTCACCCTCGCCCCTAACATCATACCCTTATTAAGGACATCATAACCAATACACGCACAACAAAGTATAAAATGACTAAATAATTTAAATAGGGTGTTACAATAGACATCTCATCATGCAAAAGATGAAATAAAAATGTCTCAGAGTGCCATCTCTCCATGAATGCTTTAAGCATCCCGTGGTTGACCAGAGTGTAACTGGTCATACATAGGTCCTTCAGACTAGATAAATATAGGACACTCTAAAACCAATCCTTCTCCTGCTGAGGCAATGCATCAATCATCCTCCCATGGTTCAGAAACTTATAGGGATCACACTCCTATAATTTTCCAGAAATAATTAATGTCAGTAATAATCATTGCCAGAAATTAAAATTAAAATTAACGCATAAAAAAACAAAGAATCTAAGTAATGCTACCCCTTCATCCCATATATGTTTGTCAATGTGGTCTGGGTACAGAGGAAGTAACGACATATCATATGGACCTCTTTCAAAACCTTCTAGCTCGACATGCACAAAATCTTCACCCTCAGGAGGTGGCCCAAGATCAATAAGATCATTAGTGGAAGGTGGCACTGGATCTGTGGGAGGTGGCACTAGTGAATCCTGATGCGTGCAAGGGGATGGGGGAAGTGACGTGTCAGATGGTGAATCCCGTCTCCTACTGGAAGAAGAAGAAGAAGACGAAATGGTCTGAGATGAAGGAGTAGTGGCCTGAGATGAAGGTGGAATGGTCCGAGATGAAATGGTCTAAGGTGAAGAACGAGCCCCAGGAGTAGACTGCTCCCCAGAAGTATACTACACCCTAGAAGTCGATGCCTCTGCTTGACCAATCATGTCTCAGTCTATCAACTATGTCAGCCATAATGCTTGTAAGGTAAATTAGAGTGTATCATTACTACACGCAGACAAAACACACAAACAAGAAAATTAAGAAAAAAAAGATAGCAATAAATTCCAGAGATGCATCTCTAGAAAAACCATAAAACAATAACGTTGACCAATTCCGAAAATGCATCTTCAGAAACACCTTAAGACATTTTACTTTGAATACTTTCAGAGTTGAATCTTCAGAATATCCCAAAGGATATGAAATGCTGAACAATCTCAGAGTTCGCGACAATGGCGTAATGTACCTCTTACAATGTGAAGAAAATGTCTTGATCGCCATTTTGAGCCAACAAACATGTCATACACTAAGTCTAAACCATGTTACTTATGATTTCTACACATTTCTACCCCTAATCACTGATTTCTACACATTTACACTAAAACTTGAATATTTACCGAAAACTCAAAAAACTTACGTAAAATTGATTATTCAGATGTTATTTCCGATATTAGAGATGATACTTGATGTTCCCTTTAATTCCTATGACGCCTTACTTGGAAAAATTTGATGCTTGTGACAATAGATGAAATTGAGAGAGTTTGGTGTTTTGTGTGAAATAAACTGTGAAATGAGGAAGGAGAAGAGTCTGACACGAGTTAAGCTCTAAATTATTCTAGAGATATCTCTCCATAATATTTCAATATTCACTGAACTTAAGATGAGTCTGTATATGTATCTCCAAAATCAGAGAACATATGTGGAAATCCACACGATGTTTTAGAAACATATAAAGTGCATCAAGAAATTGTCTCAAGTTTCTTTGTGTTACAAAGTTTGAATGTTTGTTATGAATATGGTACTCCTCCCTTAACAAAAATACGTTTCTATTTTTTTTTTGGTATTATACTATAATGCCACTAGAAAAGTACTCATGCTATCATCCAAGTTTGTTATTAATATCTTTGTTATGTTAAGTGTTAATAATATAAAATAAATAATACATTTAAAGAAATTTAACTTTTTACGTATAAAAATAAATACATGAAAGATCATTTGATTCACTAGATGATGAAATAAAAGTTATTTTTGAATTTAATAATTCGTTATTTTACAAATTAAATATGATCCCTACTAAGTAGCCGATTCTGATTGGGAAAGGTAATACTTTTCATTAAGAAAATTAGTATGCTTATGATCTTTGTCAAGTGGTTGGCCCCGACTAGATGTTAGAGGTTCCTTATTAATTTCACCATTCAAGACCATATCAAAGATCATAGTCACATTCACTACTAGAGCTTCACTAAAAATCAAATACTACATGTCGAATTCTAGTACACATTATTCTAAAATCTTAAACTTTACACTTTGATCCTTATTCGCTTAATAGTCAGAATGTTTGCAGATACATCATCCACTACTAGAGCATTAGCAGAATTCATCATCACTATCAACAAATGTTGCATAAAATGTTTTACCAAATCACATATATCACATATGAATTGAGTTTTTACTTGAAAGACCAGGATATTTCTTTAAGCCATAATTGTGGTCTTTAAAGATAAATATAAGTCTATTACATTGGCTTACCCCACTTAATCAAAAAAATTCAAATTAATACTTTTCATCGTAAACCCAAATAAAACTAAATTATTCTAAAATTTCGATTAAAATTTTTGTTGATTTCTGCCTAACTAGAAGCTCATTATAAGTCTTAATCATGATAAGGCAGGGGCTGTTTCACGATTTGGCTACCCTGGGCAACTTCCCAGGCTCTTTAGTCTGGCCCATATTTTTTTAAGTTAAAAAAAAAAGGAAAGGCAAAAAATTGAAAGGGAAAAAAGAAGAAAAAAAGGCAAAAACAAAAGAAAACCCAAAACGCTCTGCAACACCAAAATGAAGCACCCTCTTATCTCCGCGACCAGGGGCAGTTTGACGATACGGCTACCCTGGGCAACTGCCCAGGCTCTTTAGTCTGGCCCAAATTTTTTTTAGTTAAAAACAAAACAAAAGACAAAAAATTGAAAGGGAAAAAAAATAAAAAAGGGCAAAAACAAAAGAAAACCCGAAACGCTCTACAACACTAAAATGAAGCATCCTCCTATCTCCGCGATCGTAACTCCATCCTCCTCTGGTATCCTTCTCCTCCCTTTATTTCTTTTTCTCTATTGAATTTTTTTCTTTTAATCTTTGTATTTTGATTGGTGACATTTATTTAGTGTTTGGGATATTAGGTTTAAATAGGTGTAACTGCTGAAATTACTGAGATTGTTTTCAAATTTCAATTGCTTTCATGTTACTTGTTTTATGATTGATTATTATGATTCAAATTTTGTTATCATTTATCATGTTTTAAAATAGAACAATAGTTGGTTTATATCATTTCAAGAGAATTGAATTGGGAACTATCTAAAATTGCTACAAAAAACCTCTGTACATAGTTAGCTAAGTAGGTTCATTACTATCTAAAATAAGAGAATCAAAGGAATAAGCTACTGCTATAAGCAATAAATAGTTAGCAAAGTAGATTCAAGACTTTATGTACATAATTAGCTAAGTGAACGTATAAAAAAACCTCTATTTTTTTTATTAAAATTTACTTTCATTCATATGACCTTATGTACATAGTTAGCTAAGTAGGTTCAAAGACTTGACCTGCATAGTTAGCTAAGTAGGTTCAAGACTTTATAGAAACAAAACCTCTGTTTTTTTATTATTAAAACTTACTTTCATTATGATTGCAAGTGAATGAATAAATTATGTAACTTTTAATTGAGTATTAACTTAACATCATTTAATTTTAGAGATGAGGAGATTTCTGGTTGATAGAGAAAATATTGAGAATATGAATGTTGTGCAACCAGAAGTCGAATTAGAACCACCGCCTAATATGGTTAATGAGTTTAATCCAAATGAGATTGTGCATGATCTAGATCGTAGGAAACAAATTAATGAGTATGCTCCGGATGTTCAAGACCAAGCGAGGAGGGTATATATATTGAAGAGTCCAATGCAACCAAATTTGTCAACCAAAAGAGCTTTCTGTGGCCATGATGAATCCTCTACTTCTCTAAATAAGGGAAATTTTAGAGAGATGATAGATTGGGTAAAATCTCAGAATGAACAAGTGAGGGATGCTTTTGACCGTGGTGGAAAAAATTGCACAATGACTTGCGGTGGCATTCAAAAGGAGCTTGCAATATGTTGTGCACATGAAGTTACCAAGGTGATTATGGAAGAGCTTGGTGATAGACAATTCTCCATGCTTATTGACGAGTCACGTGATATATCCATCAAAGAGCAAATGGCGGTGATGTTGAGGTTAGTAGTTGTATTTTCCAATTTCCAATCTTTATTACCTATTATTCTCTATGCCGCCAAGTAAACTTGTTGAATTTTTTTTAGGTTTTTGAACGGAAAAGGGAATGTTGTGGAATGATTTATTGCTCTACATCATGTCAAAGATACTACATTTGAGTCATTAAAGGATGCTCTTTATGGTTTTCTTGATAAGTACACGTTATCGATTTCGAGGATACGAGGGCAAAGATATGATGGAGCTTCAAATGTAAGAGGTGAATTTAATGGTTTGCAAAGAAATATTCCAGATGAAAACCCTTATGCTTTCTATGTCCATTTCTATGCTCACCATTTACAATTGGTTGCTATATCTGTTGCTAGTAGTTGCTCATCTATTCATGATTTCTTTGAGTACATCTCTTTGATTGTGAACATAAGAAGTGCATCTTGTAAGAGGAGGGATTCTTTGGGGGAGGCACAACACCTAGATATTTTAAATAAACTTGAGAGTGGTGAGATATCTAGAGGAATGGGCTTGCACCAATCATCTAGTCTCATTAGACCCAGGGATACTAGATAGGGTTCACATCATACTACATTGCTTCGTCTGGATCAAATGTGGTCCTCCGTGTTAAAGGTGCTTAGTATGGTTGATGAAGATGGACGTGAACCATCTCAAGCACCAGGTTTGGTAGAAAAAATGGAGAGCTTTAAATTTGCTTTCATTTTGAAGTTAATGTTAAATATGTTTGGTATCACAAACGAGCTTTCAAATGTCTTGCGAAGAAAAGACCTTAATATTATAATTTCCATGGAATTAGTTGATGTTGTCAAAGCTCGGTTGGCCACAACGAGAGAGAGAGAGAGAGAGAGAGTAGTTGGGATAATTTATTTTCTGATGTCTGAGATTTTTGTGTTGCTATAGGTATTCCGGTGCTAAATATTAATGACGAAATATCGGTTTGGGGTCGTTTGACGGTAGAAGGGAGGACTATCACTAATCTTCATCATTATCGTGCATATATTTTTTATGTTGCTATTAACAAAATATGTGTGGAGATAGATCATCGCTTTAGTGAAGGAAGTAACATTATCCTTGATTGCTTCTCATGTCTTAAACCCAAGAACTATTTCTCCAAGTTTGATGTTGATAAGCTTGCTCATCTTGCTGATATTTATAATGCAAACTTTTCTGATGATGACCGAGTGTTGTACCCCAAAATTTTCCCTCCCTTTTTCTAACTTTAACTGGACTTTGCTTTGCGTTCATCTGCATCATCATTAGGTTGTAATTCATGATCATACTTTGCATGGGATCGGGAGTTTCTGTGAATCAAACTCTCAGGTATCAGGTTTAATCTCTTCAAGAATTTTTCAGATATCAAGAGTCAAATATTTTCACCATTAGCCTTTCATGTCCTAATTTCATCATATCATACATCGTTCTAGTGCATATCGAGCATGCGGGTTTACAAGTAAAGGTTAAGTTGAAAGACATTGAGGTATTCAAAGTCAATGTTCCTAATGAACATGAATTTGCAAGGCCTAATTCAAGATTTCTTAATCCAAATTTGTTTCAAATTCTATGTTCAAGTGGAATTCAAATTTGCAAGACATAAGTCAATATCACAAGTTCATAATTCAAGACTTCATTCATTTCAAATTCAATGGCATAAGGGAGATCCATCATTCCAAATTCAAGATTCATGAATTCAAGATTAGATTCAAGAATATTACAAAGGGAAATTTCATGACATTGCAAAAATGTCACATTTGCTACAAAGTTTCTAACTCTAAGTAATGCTTAGAAAATTAAGCTATTTCTAATCTTAATTCAAGTTTCTAATCAACTTCGTGCTATAGTACCCTTCATGCCCCATCAAGTCTGCATGTTCCTCATTATGCTTACAAACATCCAAGGAAATAATTAAGATTCAACTTAACCTTGGGTAATTTCAAGATCAAGACTATGCATGCTTAGTCATGGGCAATTTTAATGTGGTCCAAAATAATCCCATGCAAGAAGTGACAAATTGCCATATAACCAATCAATTCATGTCACAAAACCAAGGGAATAAACCCATAATGATGCATCTAAATATCAGAATTTTGAAATGCTGTCAAAGGTAGAAGTTTGGGACCACAAGGGCAGTCCAAACACAAGCAAACAAATGGGTTCATATTTGGAAACAATACAAAATGCAGCAGCTAAATACAGCAGAGCAGAATTCATGGAAATGGAAAGAATTGGGTTTGGCATCAGGAAAGTGATGAGAAGCATGTCCTAATAAAAAGATTCTGCAGCAAACAAGTGATAAAAACCCTATTGTTTGACTATAAGGAAGGGGGCAACAGAGGTAAGAAAAGAGAGAAAGATTGAGAGCAAGAGATAGAGGAAAAAACTAGAAAAAAAAGGAGAGAAAGGTGACATTGAGAACAAGAGGGTTTTTAAAAAGGAAAACAGAAGAAAGAGAGATAAAAACATAGAGTGAAACAAAAAATACATCCAACAAAACAACAGTGGTGATTAGAAGGAGAGTAGCAACTCTTGGATATCCATTTCTTTGAACCTTACTCTCTTTATATTTCATTGTATATACTTTTGTAGGCTTGCATTGTTGTTGCACACTTTATCATTGTTATTAGTTAGGATAGTATTTGTGGACACATATGTTTTTAATGAGGGTTTAAGAGTGATTAGTTATTGTAAAAAAACAAGAGTGAGTTTTGTAGAGAGAGAGGTGAGAACACTTAAAAAACCTCAAAATGTTGTCATGTTCACACAACAAACTTTGCCTCCTTTCCCCTCTGTTTCTATTAAATAATTTAACTTTTAATTAAAAACAAATAAAAAAACCAAAAAGATATATATAACTCAAAATAAACAAAAACATTTTTTAGTTTAGAGTTTAATTAATTTTTATTGTTCTTTAAGATTTAATTGATTTTAATTAATTTTAATTAATTTTAGAATTAAAATAATTTAAAACACTTTAGTTTTTTAATATCTAGAATTGATTTTATTTAGAAATTATTTTATTAATCAATCCTTCTTTAATTTCCATTTAACTTAATTTTAATTAAATAAATAAAAACAATTAGAATTTCTTTAAATTTCAATTTAGACTTCTTCCTTAAAATTAATCATAATCCGTAATCCAAATCTAACTTTTTCTAGATCCCATTTGAACTTAACCTTTAACTATGTTAATTTGCATATTTGTATTTCATTACCTATTCTATGTCATTTGTATATCCATTGCTTTAAATTTCTTGTTGTTAACCGCGTTCCGAAGGAAAGGTACCCATTTGACTGCCATGTCAATACCTCACTCCTTCACCTTACCCCGCTTCCTAGCCTTAGGATTTGAGTCGTCGTACTCATGCTTAGCATCCTGCCGTGGACATTCTCCTTTCATCCTAGCCTTAGGATCCGAGTCGTTGTACTCATGCTTAGCGTCCCGCCGTGGACATTCTTACCTTCATCCCAGCCTTAGGATTAGGAGTCACCGTACTCCATGTAAGTTCCCACCAAGGAATACTTACCAACCTTTTCAACTTAACAACTTCAATGTAGAATCAGAGTCGCTGCACGCCACGTAAGTGTCTCCCTATAAACACTTACTTCCCCTTGGAACCTTGACCACAATCAATAAGTTCCTCACCCTCTTCGAGGGGAACTACGAACACTCTGATTTCTCGTTGAGAATACATAGGCACAAGGTGCGATATCTTGGCGAGCTCACTAACAATTAATTTCCCATTATTGTTTGCAACTTAGGATTGGAGTTGTCGTGCTCCAGGTAGTCATCCCTCCGTGGATATCCTTCACCTTCATCCTAGCCTTATGGTCAGCAGTCTCCGTACTCCATGTAAGTTCCCGCCGTAGAATACTTACTTACTTTACCCTTTTCAACACTCTCAACATAGATTCGGAGTCGCCGCACTCCATGTAAGTGCTTCCCTATGAACACTTACATCCCCCTGGAACCTTGACCACAGTCAAGAAGTTCCTCACTCCTCTTTGAGGGTAACTACGAATACTCTGATTCCATCCCCTACCCAGGATACGTAGGCAAAAGATGCAATTTCTTGGCAAGTATACTTAGGACTAACCCGTTAGGTCCTTCCCTCTTTACCTTTCAACCCTTTAGCATACCCTTAACAGATAGATACCAAATAGAAAATTTAAACAAGAGGTTCTTGTAGAGTACTAATGAAGTTTAGGATGCTAATACCTTCCCCAGGCTTAACCAACCCCCGTACCCTAGATCTTCCCGCATTGTGTTTACGATGCAAAATAGGTTTTTACTTCTTTAACCTTTCCTTCGAATAAATCAAAGACCGGTTGTGAATCTAAAGATTGTGATTCAAATTAATCAATAATTTGATATCCTATTCTCACCACAACACCATCTTTTGCATGCTAACATTAGGATACAATTACCTTTCGCATCCCGACCTTAGGGCCACTTTGCATGACAGTGTTAGGATCGAGTTTCCCTTAGACCTTCCGTGCGTCTTTCTCTCTTCTCATCTCAAAATAATTCTAACACACCTAATAAAGACAATGAATGTTGTGCGCCACGAGCCTTAAGTATATGGGAAATAATGAGTGAGGGGTCTCCTCTCACTTGTCTAGAGTGTTTAGCGTACGTCCCATCTGGGGGCGATATGCGTCACATTTGTTCCAATATCATAGTCTTTAGTGCAACGTGAATCTCAAATAAAATCAATTCACTTTATTAAAGTTGATAAGTAAACTTCAAACCCTTTTATCCTTCGGGATTTGTCTTTCGAACTTTTTTCCAGAAATGGTACATTACTTTTTCGTTCTACCGCAAATAGGCATCGACCTTAACTGCTGGAAGGGGAACTTAATGTCTCTCATAAAAAACACTTAACCGACCTGTGGTTGCATTTGTCGAACTATGTTTTCTCTGATTTCTCATACCATATGAGGATACGTAGGCACAAGACGACGATATCTTGGCGAGCAACCTTCCCTCATCCACCCGTAGTTTCCCAAACTATGTGGACTCTGACTTTTCCGTTGCACGAGGGAATACGTAGGCATAGGGTGGCGATGTCTTATCGAGTCTCCTTTTTCTTTTCCCTTTCCCGTTTCTATTTGGTAGT